GGGAATGCTGTGAAGAGGCATTGGCTGTGAGGGGATGAGGGGTGGTGTGTCAGCATGGAGGCTGTGAGAGGACATTGGGTTTGGGGGTGTGAGGAGATGGGGATGGGGGCTGTGAGGAGATGGAGGCTCCTGTAGGGGAACAGAAAGCACTGTGAGAGGGTAGAGGCTGCGAGGGGAGGAGATAGAGGGTGTGAGGGGATGTTGGGTGTGAGGGGAGGACAGGGTGCTGTGAAGGGACGGGGTCAGTGGGGGGACAGGGAGTGCTGTGAGGGGGTTGTGGGGGGGCAGAGGGGGCTGTGAAGGGATAAGGGGTAATGTGTTAGAATGGGAGGTGAGAGGGGATAGAGGTTGTGAGGGGTGAGGGAGTGCTGTGAGGGGTCGAGGATGAGGCTGCGAGGGGATATTGGTGTGAGGGGATGGGATGCTGTGAAGGGATGGGGTCAATGGGGGGACAGGGAGTGCTGTGAGGGATGGGGCTGTGAGGAGCTGCAGACACCGCTGTTCCTCCGCGTTGTTCCCCCAGCCTTTCCCCTCTTATTTTGCATCTTAGGTGTTGATTTTAAAGTGAAGAAGATGGTGGTAGATGGCCACACGGTGCAGCTTGCAATATGGGTAGGTTTGGTTTGGGGCAGATGTGGGAACGTAGAGATCTCCTGTAGGGGCTGTGCAGCAAACAGTCTGTGTGCTGTACCGGATGCACAGCGGATGCTTTATTTTGGTTGCTTCAAACTTCTGGTGCTGTGTTTCCAGCGTATGAAAACTGGGAAATCAGAGTGCAGAGTGTGTTCAGGTTTACCTGTAATGTTATTAAAGCACTGAGTGTTTTCTCCTAGATGGACTGTAGGCCCATGAAGGGTTTTTCAGGTGTTGGGGCATAAGTATTTAAGAAAGAACGCTCCATTCTGGATTAAGCTATTGGGACTACTGGAAAGAAACGTGCCTAGGGCTGGTGGTAACACAGGGAATATTGGCATCAGAACTCGTGTTATTTCTTGGTTTTTCTTTATGGCTCTGTATATGGAAAGTAGAGTGGGACTGTTGAGGTTGCAACTGTTCCAGCTGTGTGCGCTGGCTGTGTTCTGAGCAGAGCCTTGCTGGGACTAATAGGAAACCTCATAACCATGCAGGGGTGGGCCTGCTTGCTGTGGAATGGAAACCCACACAGGTTGTATAGCTGGAAAAGGAGCTTTACAGTGGTAACAGCCATCTGGAGAGGCTGCTGATGAGCTGGAAGGGAAAACTGGTGCTTGGAGAATGTTAAATAAAAGCTTCGATGCTTGTACCAAGCATCAAAGTGAAGGAGAGGCTTTGACTTTAGTATCTATGGGTTCATTATAACCTCCTTAGTAAGCATAACCTGTACTAAGTGAATACACTGCCAGGTCTAATGAAGTAGAAATAAATGATAACATAGCTGTTGGTCTGTCTATGACAATCTGCACGTAAATCTAAACACTTCTTTGGTAACAATAATAAACGCTGTCACTTTTTTGCCTTCTTACTGTTTGTTCTGGGTAGAGTGGAGTATTTGGAAGACTCTAGAGAGTGTGGCACAACTTAGCAATAATTCAATAAAACTGCTCATTCTTCTTGTTGTTTTCTTGTTGTTTGTGTGTGTTTTCTTTTTTTTCCCCCCAAGGACACAGCGGGCCAAGAGCGCTTTAGGTCACTGAATCCCAGTTATTACCGAGGAACTCAAGGGATTGTTTTAGGTAGGAGGAGTATGGGAGGGAAACGTGACTGCAGGAAGCTTGGTTTTACAATCTAAACTGCAAAAGGGGACTGAGAGAATCAGGGGAACCGCTGGGTTTTGTTTCGCAGCGCTTTGAATCCTTCGCTCAAACTCTGAGTTTGCAAAACTGATGCTGGGAAATTCTGCTGCTTCCAAACGTTTTGCGTTTCAGCCAAGTCACCCTGCAAACCATTGGGTGAATCGTCAGCTTTGTAGTTACTGTTCTGGTGAATTTCTGGTTAGAAGGGAACATTGGGTTTTGCCTTTTGTTTCCCTTAGCGGCTTTGCTGTTTATCTGTATTTATTTGTTACTGATGACTGATGGGGTTTGCTATAGAACACGAGACTTGCAGCACAAGGAATACGTGCTTAGTCTTTTTCAGTGTGAACACCAATTAGGAAAAGCAGGGAGTCGTTCTCAGGGCTTGTGAGGGCTGAAGGTGCAGAATATTATTTTTCTGGCCTCAGTGCCGTGATGAAGTAAGCGTTGATCAAGACTTTGCAACTGCTAAGCTCCTTTTCTTCCTTTACCAGTGTATGATGTTACAAGGAAAGACACTTTCACAGGCTTAGAGAGCTGGCTGAACGAGCTGGAGATATACACCACCAAAAGCGACGCTGTGAAGATGTTAGTTGGCAATAAAACTGATAAGGTCAGTTCAGAAATGCATCGTCTTACACTCTTCTGCAGGCGACTCAATCATGAGACAGAATAAATGTGAGATAAGCTCTGAAACGATCACATTTCTTGTGTGAGGAGGTGATGGGCTCTGGAACTTGGGCAGGGGAGGCTCCTTTTGTTGCCTCATTTGAGAAGCAGCTCGTATTGGAATTTTGTGGATGTGCTCCCGGAGAGATGCAGTTAATGAGAGAGATTCAATTACTGGAAAACAGTGGAAGTTTCTGGCTGGGCACTGTGAAATACCTTTTAATTTAACAGCAGTGCAACAGAACAGCTCTTCTGCCTCTTTGAGCCAACCGTGCCTTGGGCAGGTGGTGGGGAAGGATTCTGCTCTTACCTTCAGCTGGCTGTTAATCATACATCTGTGTGGGTGAGGTGCACACACCTCTGGACATCTCTGGGCATTTTTGACATATCCTAGATGCACATTGCTTAGCGAGATGTGTTTCACTCTTGCTTTACTTCAGGAAGTTTCCAGCGTGGCTGTCCTGAAGTAGGTAGCTGGAATTCTTAGCTGCCTGTGTATCTGCGTCGAGCACTTTGTACTTGTCTTGGGATTTTGGGGAAATCCTCCTTTTCCACTTACCCAGTCTGACAAATTTCAGACATCTTTGGTATGCTTCTTCAGCTGTTTGACTATTGTAACTTCCTTTCTGGCATTTCCTTTGCTCCCCCTTGATTCAGAAGATAACAACATCTTAGTTTCCTGCTGATTTGGTGTTGCTGCTCTTCGGTTTGACCCTCCACTGGCTCTGCCTGACACCAATACTACTTAATGCTTTTGAGCTGGCTGTAGAGGGAGGGATATTCACTTGATGGCTGCGATGTGATTTTATAGACTTTTTCTTTCTTTCCAGCAAAAAACTTCAATTCTACAGTGCTGCTTTTCCAGGGAGTTCCTTAAGCTTGCAAATATAGCTCACTTGAGTCATTTCTTCATTCATCTCTGCAGCCTGATCGGGAAGTAGAGAGAAGAGAGGGACTCCAGTTTGCTAAGAAACGCTCGTTGCTGTTTGTAGGTATGGAACCGTGCCAGAAGTGCTTATGTGCATGGATTGTTTGTGTGTTGTTCTGTAACTGACAGTGCTTTTTTTTCTGGCAGTGAGATTCCTTCATGCGCTGTGTAGGCACGAGTTCTATATGGTTTTTTTTTCCCCCTTTTTTCTTCCTGCCCACAGAGACCAGTGCCAAAACAGAGGATGGAGTGCAGCATGCCTTTGAGGAACTAGTGATAAAGATCCTGCAGACGCCAAATCTTTTGGATAAAAGCACAGAGAAGAAAAGAGTCCAGCTAAAGGAATCGTCACAGCAGGAGAAAAGCGTGTGCACTGCATACTGTCCACTTTCTTAGGTCTGCAGGTGGCTGTTCTGTCCAAACGGAGTGCAGTTCAGAAGAATACACTGAGGGCTTTCAGGAGCTGCTCTGTGCCTTGTTTGACCTGCTACAGTTGTGTAGATTTGATACCAAACTGATTCACAAAACACTCTTTTATTCACTAACAAAGTACAGTTTCTTTCTGTTATGCACATCTGATATCTGCAGGTATCAATTTAATGCTTTTTTTGATAACTCAGATTTGTTACTAGTAAATCACACTCTTACAGTACGCTTTTGGCATTTGACATTTACTTTTTCTAGAATTCCTGCCTTGGCATAAGAGTTTTCCATTTTGGAATGTTGCTGTAAAGCTTCTCCTCCCCAAAGTGGCACAGGAGTCTTTCAGGCTGCCAGCTTCTCTTTAATGCACTCCCTGCTCGGGAGTCACCCTAAGCAGTGACATTTCCACTCTATTTCAGATGGTTTCAGATGTGGGTCTGCAGACAACAAGCTGATTTGCTGCTAAATGTGAGGCTTGTAGTGAACAGTCACATTCAGTAACATTCTGCAGGAAGCAAATGCTTCCTGTGCTGTACACTGTAGGTTATCCCTTGCTGCTCTTCACTGCGTGGTGCTGAGGATCAGAGGTGCTTTGGAGTCATCATTTTGGGCCAGCTGACAGCGTGGGTACTTCTGCAGTTGACAGAATAATCTGCAAACCTGGGTTTCTACTCTGATTCAGCAATTGCAGGGTGAGAAGTGGGTTCAGTATAGAATGTGCTGGTGATGGAAGGTTGTGCAGTAACAAGAGTGTGTCCATTGTCGATCTCATGATGAAGTTCTACAAGATAGCTGCTGCTTTTTACCTTCTCTCTGCTCCAAAACTCACTGCCTTTCCTTGAAAACAAGCTTTGAGTCTTGTAGGATGCTTTGGTTCTGGGTTTGGTAGCAATACTGTTAGGAAGGCTTTGTTAGGTAACACACTAACAGTACTAAGTAAAAACTTGGGGATGTTAAAAGTGTTTAAAATGGAAGCTGGAGCATTAGGAGATAAATGACAAATCCAAAGATGTTCTGTCATTACAGGATATTGTCAAATTGGAACAGAAATGTTGCCTTGCTTAGGCTGCACATTTTAATCCATTGCTATCAAGTTAAATTATTAGGAGGGCTTTCCTGAGTGACACCAGGGATCTAACATTAATGCTGCTGTACAGCAGCTGAAGGCAAGGTGTACAAACTTCAGCTTTCCTTTGCAACTATTGCAGCTTGTTCTGTATAAATGCTCTGGAGCTGTTTTCATCTGTGAAAAGCACGCATGAGAAACTGTCACTGGAGAATAAAATGCCTTTATTGGGTTTTTACATCTGTTTTTCTTTGTCTTGCAATGGGTCACATATCGCCTCTATTGCAGTCAGTCTGAGGAAGGTGATGACAGATGCTATTGTGGTGTTTGATGGCTTTGAGCAGATGTTTCCACTGATAAAGCCAGCTGAAGGAGTGCTCCTTCATACCTACCTCCTCCTTTCAGTCTTTAAAAAACCCCTGCGAAATAACGTTCATTGTATCCACTTCCAAGAGCAGAAGTTTCAGCTGGTTGCCCTACAGCAGCTGGGTGTGCATGCTGCAAGCTGCTCACCAAGGGATGGAATCCTACCCATCTATGAGCAGTGTGTGTCATAATTCAAGGGCTGGAATCTCCAAGTACCACTGCAAGCAAGAGCATGACCACCCCAAGGAAACTGGAAAGTCAAATTTGGAAGATGGGAGTCTGTGGCAGCTTGAACAAAGTCACAGGAACAGGTGGGAGGGACGTATGGGAACAGGGGGAGATAAATGACTGCTGCTCTGTGGGGTGTAAAATGGCCTCTGCTGGTTGTGGTGGTGTTCTGGCGACAGGCCACTAAGGTGGGTCGCTTTCCTATGTTTCCTGGGGTTGAGGACAAGACTGGAGAGAAGAAAGATGAGTTCTTTGCTGGTGAACGTGGGTGAAATTACGTCAGCGTAGTCTGAGAGCTGGGACGAAGACAAAACTGGGTGCTGTGGGCCGTCTGACTCGTGTTGCTGACCAGAGAAAGGCTGCATGGAGGGATTCGGGGCTCGGTAATATCACAAAACTTGTTTTCACTTCAGGTGTTTTGTTTTTTTCTTTTTTTTTTTTTTTCCTGTGTCTTTCAAGCAAGATATTGGGTGGATAAAATGGCTCCGCATGCACAGAGCTGGCAGCATGTTAACCTGAGGAAGATTCAGGTATTTGTAACCCCACATCTGTGTGATAACAGTGCTTCAGGTAGCAGGGAATCTGCTGGAACACAGAGAGCAGGGTGACAGAATTCATGTGAGGAGGGGTAAGGGCAAGAAAAAGAAAACAGAATGCGTTACTGCTTTCGTGTCAAGTTTGTTTATGTATATAATACATCATGGAGCTGGGAGAGGAAAGCAAAGAAGCCGTGACAAAGCACAGCTCCAGAGCCTGGTGCTTTGGGGATATGGTTGAGAATTGAGGTGTTTGTTTTTAAAAATAAAGGGGCAACGTAACAGTCAGAGCCAGCCCAGGAAAGAGTCTCATGAGAACAGCACTGCAAACTTTCTCTTGCACAGGAGGATCAAAAGCGAATCAATCAGATTGAAAGAGACAATAAGAAGCTCCTTGAGAACCTTGCTGCCATCCAACAAGGGCCGGCAAGGGTGGATTGTTGGAATAAATGCTTTTACAGAAGGTAGCTGCTGTTCTACCCTTCCTTCCAGGTGTCCGGGGGGGAAGGAAGGGTGCTTTTTCCACATGTCCTCTCCTTCCTATTTGTTTTTACAAAGGTGTTCATTTCTGCTCCCAGGTCAACAAGCGATAAACAGAACAGGAAAATAATGACCATCACGGTGGAAAATCATGGACTCCTGAAAAGGCTTGCTGACAGTAAGCCTACCTACGATCAAAAGAAGTTTGAAATGGAATGGCAGGCACGTAGCTGAATTTCTGTATACCTCTGACAACTGGGGTTAAGGTATCTTAAAGTTCTCAGGTATGGATGTACCTAAAGCCACCACAACAGAATCCTGGATTGAGTGAGTAATAGACAGGAAATGAAGCAGATGGGTAAGGGCAGGAAAAAAGGATGAAGCGTACTTCCTTAGGTGTTATGTTTGTTTAACAGTGCATAATTAGACTTGGTGATAAAACCCATCAATCTTTTTTCCTTGGCAGAACACGAGACAGTTTAAATAGACCGCCAAACAATGCTGCATGTCCTCCCAAGAGACTGAGGTATGTTTTTATACATCAGGTGCCATTTCCTAAAAACAAAGAAGCTGGGATGGACGTAGCAGGATTCTAATCCGTGCACATGTGAAATGTGTATGTTCTATAGTAAATTGCCATCTCAATCCTAACAACAAATGTGGCTGGAGACAAACTCACCTGGTTTTGAATAAGCTGTGTGCCTGAGCGTTCCCTGGCTGTACTCTGCTCAACTCATTTGAGAAAGGAAAGCAGTTCAGATGCAGTCAGTGTAAGGACAGGGAGCTGCCTGACAACCTCAGGTACTGTGGCTGTTTAGCACAGCTCTTCCTTGCACACTACAAATAGGAAAGGCTACGTTAATCTCAAGCATGGGCAAGGGAGGGAGAGAGAGGGAGAAGGGAGAAAGAGGTTCAGTTTGCTGAAATATTTTGACTTGGGGTTGCTGGTACCGCTTTCAAAGCAGGTCTTCAAACTCAAGGAAGTTTGCATGCTGACTTTCTTTATAATCTCTTCTTTTTGCCCCTCCTCACTGCAAAGCACAAACCAGGCCTGGCCTTGACTTGGTGTTGTCTGAATTGGAATCTTGTCCTGGAAACAGACATCTGTTACGTGTGCCTTTTCCTGAGACTGTCAGAATAAAGAGAATACACAGAAGCACTGACTGTTCTTCACTACGCATTTCCATATTCTCTCTCCATCATTTACTTTGAACCTAAAAAAGTCCTCAATCAGAAAAGCGAAACAAATGTTTCTGATAGTATCTAAGTTATGATCTGTGGGAGTGTACATCAATGTGGAATATCTGCACATAACTCAAAAAAAAAAAAAAAAAGATTATTTAACTGACACTGAATATTTTAGGTCATGTTTAATGGGAGTTGTATATTTTACCCTGAAAACTGCAATATATATCCTGTGGTGAGATCGATCTGGTAGGATATTGATTGATATTTTAATAAATCTGCTTAGCTTGAGATGCTGTTAAACTACTGCACTCATTTTTTTTTTTTCCTGTCTCTTCCTACTCACATCCCTTTGGTGGCTGTGCTGGGCCAAAGCTGCAGCAGCTTATTGGCAGAGCTGATGGGCCACAACCACATGAGGGAATCCTTGTACAGCTGCTGGGAGGCTTCCAGTCTGGCAGCATGTTTTCTGACAAGCCAGAGCAGTTCTAGCAGACTGCAGGAAGTGCTGTTCTTTGCAGGGTGATACTTGGAAGTTAGCATTCGGAGAAGATGGATAGACAACTTTTTGGGCTGGAGTTAATGTAGATTCGGAGACACTAAATAAGAAATACACTTTTAATAAGTAATGGTGTCAGTTTTGCTGAATGCTGTGGAACAAGAATAACACCACATTGTTAAAAGAATGAGACCAGTGTACCAGAAGGTGTTGTTAGAGGGCACAGTACAGAGGAAGATTAGAACTCAACAGGCAATGGAAAACAGGAACAAGTTTCAGGTAATACACACCTGCACTGTACTCACAAAATCAATGCGTTTTCTTGGACCTGCCCACCTTAAAAAGCTGCATATTCTTTCTGCCAAGTCCTCAACAGATACAATTTCCTCTTCAAGACGTGATGGAGCCAAGTGCCATGCCACAAAGGTAACATAAGGTCGCCTTCACTTGATTTGTAACAAAGGTTTTCCTAAGTGCTGGGAGAATGATGATTCAGTGCTGTACCTCAGCTTCCTGGTGTTTCAGCCTCCCCTCCTGGCAGCCTTTGCAGAGCTGCTCTGTTGCTGTCCACGTGGCGCCCCAGCAGCTGGCATTTGCAAAGATGCCTTGTAGAAAATAAGCTTCTTCAAGTCATGTTTTACACCATACACACTTTTCAGGTAGGCTAAAGAACGTCCCCGGGTTATGAGCTGGATCAATCACACAGGTATGTTTACAGGTTGCTTAACATCTATCCTGTGCTGTTAGGAAGAGAGCGACTGGGAAAGCGGGCAAAAGCCATAGCTGAGCAGACTAATTACTACCTATGCAAGACAGCCAGAAGCACGGGGAAAGGGCTGAGCTCAAAAAACAGAACCAACAATACGAACAAAAGTCCCACCGCCACCCCTCAGCTGCTAAAACACAGACGATTTACTGAGCCAGTCTAGTTGTGCCTAATTAGAAAGGGTTTGCAACCAGAAATACTGAGTGGAAGAAAGCCAGCTGGACATTTAAGGAACTGACAGGGTGAGGGCACTCTCCCTCGCCCTGAAGTAGCAGACTTGCTCCTGGATGAAGAATCTTGTTCAGATGCCACACGAGGTCTGGCCAAACGCTGAAGCTTCTAACATCGCTTCAGTGCTTTTGGAGTATGGGACCCTCTGCACATTTTTCCCTTACAAAGTGCAATATTTGCAGTCTAAAAGTCACTCCAGTCTTTTACTAACCTGTTCAGGCTGAGAGTGCACAGCTGGTACTCAGGATTCCAATTCAAGAAGGCAGTATCAGCTTCTGACTTTATTTTTCCCCTGTAGTCTTTACATATTACTTTCTAGAGAGAATGGCAGTTTTGCCGTGAAATCAACACATTTCCCTTTTGTCATCCATATATTTACAAGGCTTTTTAAATAAACTCTTTCCTTTAAACAGATGATAGCAAACTATGACCTAACCCAGCTGACTGGCACCCAAAATGAATCCTTGTTTAGCTTATCTAGCACAGTTTTGAGCTGATTACATGCACTCTGGAGATCTTCTTTCACCAGCGTAGTGTCAATTAAATGGCCATAGTGCTCTTCGATGAATGCTGCTGAATTCATAATTTCCTGCTGCTCTTCATCCTGCTGACCAACACAAGAAGATGATTTGATGTTTTCAGTACGCATCTGTAATTACTTATTAGCATTTTTATGGATGCTAGCACACTACATCATGACTTTGCAAGAAATGAACCAAAGCGTTAGGAAAGGGGAGGAGAGATCTGGGAGCTGAGATGAAGGAGCAAGAAGCATTTAGGGAGGGGGAAGAAACATATGACAAGAGGGAGCTAAGGCACTTCTCTCACACTGCAAAATAGAGATTAAGGTTAGAATACTTACAAGGGGTGTCGAGATTTCTTCTGACACAGGAGATTTTAGGACATTTTTTTTCTTTTCTGGAATGAGGGGCTTCACAAAGATAACATAAGGCTTAAATTCAGGAGTCCTCAAGTGCTTCACTGCCTGTGAACAGATGTATTTTCTTTTCTCATGTCATATTACGTACACTGTGTGCCAGTGATCTGCTCATGCTGGGTTCAACAGTTTCACTTGTGTCACACCCAGGCTTTCATGCCACATCTAACCACAGCATGCTTTCGTTCTTCAAGGAAAAAGTTAACATCAGCATCCTTTCAGGTATTACAAAAGCATGTGAGCATGGTCTGACTGCAGGGACACCTTGCTTTGCACCACAGCCCCAGGAACAAGGACACGAAAAAAGGACAAAAGGAATGATGTGACAGGCAAGTTATGGTTTGCTTCTTGTAACCAACTCAGCCAGCAGCCCAGCCACCTATCAGAAAGGTGCTCAAAAAACATCACTGCTCTCTGCACAGCAAGCAGCCCCAAAAGGTGAACAATGTTTGTTACTCAGGCAGGCAGCATTACTGGAAATATTTGCTTTCCTTACAAGAAACTGCTGAACTTACTTCAGGAACCACATCCACCAAACAAACCTTCTTTTTGGCCATCACAGACCGGATTGCCTCAAGACTTGTGCCATACAGGTTTTCTTTGTATTCTCCATGTTCCACAAATCTAAAAAGTAAATGTATGGTTCTTAAATACAGCCCACAAGGCACATTTAACTTTCAACATCTGATAGCTGTTTCCCAAAGTCACAACAGTCAAATATTGTGGAGGGAAGGAAGGTGGGGAAAAAAAGGGTTTCTTTTTCCTCATTTTTTCCTTTGGTTGCTTAGTAACAGTTGCCTTCTTCCCATGATACTGCTAGTGAATCAGTACTACTGAAAAACAGGGGAAGAAGCTGCACTGATTCAGTTGACTGCTGTTCAAATCTACTAAAACAAAGAAGTTGTTTCTCAAATGAAATAGAACAAAGCTGGCAAGGAAATGGACTTGGATTCTTCCACCTTCTGGGAGGTTAGCCAAAATCTGCACTTCTAGGAAACAAGCCTGATCTTACAGAAAGTCCTTCATACCGATGGGCTTAGCCTACAACTCACTTTGAAGTGGAATTATGAATTAAATTTCCCCATGTTGCCCATCATATTAAACAAAGAATAAAGTAGGACCAACTAAGTATCTGTTACTTTCACGAGGCTCAGTTCAGATCAATCACAGGCTTAAATTCTAACTTCTGGTATTCCTACCTCTCCTCTGTTGTTTCTAAATCGTCTCTCAGTATAATTCTTGCTTCACACTAACAGTCCAAACTGAATAAAAGTTGTTCCTGGAAAACAGAACCCTTCCAAAATGGCTCCTCCAGTTTTCCCAGATTTTGGTATTCACATTACATGACATTTACTTAGCAATATTTTCAAAACATAATCAGTTATATCCGTATTTTAAAATTAACTCACTTGTTTTGCTGCACATCTGTCTCAAATGATTGCTTAGAGACAAAGTTGTATTCGACTCCCTCTTTCTCATGACTTTTCTTTGACCTCGTTGTATCTAAAAGAAAGTGGAAGCAAAGCACAGCACACAGGTCAGCTTCTGCAGACAACGCTACCATCTCTGTTCAGTTTCAGTCATGTTTTCATGACCTCAACCAAGGCAGTCAAAATTAACATAAAATAGAAGTGATGTTAGTCTTTTGCTGTAAACTACATTACAGGATTGAAAATGAAGTTAGTTTGGGTACTGGATTCCTGTTCTTTGAAACTCAGAAAATAAACACAGAAAGTAGATAAAATTCTGCTGTGTTGCCTGTGAAGTTTAAGTATGAACATGCCTGGCTGTTTGTAGAATTGGGTCCTTGATGGCTTATATGAAATCAGACATCTTCCCTCAGAGTTCAAGACTGCTAATATTATGCAGTATTTATTTAAGTTTATTCTCTTCTCAAACACGAAATCCCATCCCTTAAAGTAACAGAAACAAATGCAAACTCCGATTTGATTTGTGTCTGCACTTCCAGCTCCACAGTTAGGCAGATATTCACCCGCTGCTGGAAAACTCCTGTTGGTTACAGCAGTTTACATTCTCAGTTATATACAACACATTATGCACGTGCACGAAGTTGTACTCCGATCCACTCAGACTTTTATGATGAGAAAACAATTTCCACACACAAACAGTCAACAGCTGAAACACTGACTGATCAATGCAATGAATCCCCATTCCCCAGTGCAGCTAGCACTGGGCTTTTCAACAGAATCGATGGAACAAAGTGGCAACACAGTGTCAGTAAATTCTACTCACGTGGAACTGCAACACCGTACTCCTGTGGGTTCTCTGACACAACTTTCTGCTTGAGCTCGTTTAATCTGGCTCCCAAACAACCTAACAGAAGAGAATGGTCTGATTATTTCTTGTGGGGAAGAAGTACTGTAAAGAAAATAAGTTACACCTGTTCTAGCCATTCGATCCATGAGGTCTATCCTGGTGAAGGTTTTTGGCTTTTTTTTTTGTCATTTAAAAGAAGACAACAAAATAATAATTATAATAAAAAATAAAAAGCTTTTGGAGTGAAGGCAAAAAGGGAAAGAGGAAGGTGATACTCTGGATCAATTCCACCTCTTACCAATCAAAACAATCAGCCTCTGCTGCTCCCCAGGCTGCTGCTGGTACTTTGTGACCTCCTCATACGTTAGGAGCTCTGCAGCATCTGCCTGCTCTGCCTGCTTTGCTTCGGTAGGACTGTTCTCCTTCTCTTTACGACTCAACCTAAAGCTCCTGCGTAAGCCAGCTGCGGAGGAAAGGCAGAAGAGGCACTGAACCATGTCTCCATTTATTTCCACTGTCAAGCTCGTTCAGCTAGAAGGCACTGTCTTTGAATAGAGACATTCCCTCTAGTATTTTTCTTT